AATTTTTTTTGAAAAAGGAAGAAAAAGCAACAGTTTTATCATATTGCATTTAGAGTATGAAGTATGGAATCTAAAAATGGATTCTTAGAAAAGGAAAATTATTAAACTCTTTAAAGCAGACACAAATATAGAAAATAAACTTTTATTCCATTGAATCTGCTGAAGTAAATCATGTTCCTAGTAGCTGTGATTGATGAATTATTTATGATGCATTCTGCTACTTAGAAGTGTCCTTTAAAGTAAATTGATGTTCACCTGAAATACAATTATGCTAAGACAGAGAGAGCAATCAATCTTATCTGTTCTTAGTAAGCTTTTCATTTTGAAATTTAAATAAACTACATCTGGGATCAGGTCATATTTTAGTAGTATAATTCCATCTTTACCCCAAATAAACTGAAAGATAAAATATAAGAAAAGAGTTAAATATGTTATGACAAACTATATGTATATATATTTAATGCAACAAGGAAAACTATATAAATTTCTCAAAGAATAATTTCCCTCAGAAAATATTTTTACAGATTTGTTGCAGCAGGGGTTGGAATTTACTTTAATCAGCTCTTTCCATTAGGGACACCTTCAGAATAGCTGAATCCATTGAACATGTTTGCCGGGTGCTAAAGGCTCTATTCTGATCACATAGTTGGGAAAATCTTTTTTTCTCAAGAAGTGCCCTCCATGAATATCAACTATCTGGAGGAATGTCCTTCCTTATCCCCATTCCTTTGTTTTCCACATTGAAGTTTTAGCATGACAGTTTCAGAAAATATCTAAGCACTCATAAGCGCAACACAAATTGAATTTGATTTCCTTGTAGCAACTTGATGTGAAATCATTTTCTTTATAAAATTATTGTTTTTCTTCATCTGTGTGTATGCATTTGCTCGGCAGACTGAATAACTATAGTTATATTATTTGTAAAGGATTATTATTTTGCATCATTTTTCTTTATCCTGCCATACATTCTATGGTGTGCAAAATATATCCGTTTTTAATACATTGTTTTCCACTGACCTAGTCTGTTCAGTTTTATCTAAAACAGTTTGAATATACCCTCAGATTCCCATTATATTAAACTTTCATTAGAAACTTATATTAATATGTGTCTTTAGGCTCTGATACTTGATTTGGTTAATTTTCAACTGAGGGACTCTATGTTTGTCAACATTGCATTTCATTTGCTTGTGACATCTCATTGATCAGATAGATCTGTATCCTTCAGTACTTCGCTTGCAGCTTTATTTATACTCATCACTCAAACTGATTTAGTGTATCATCAGCAGTTTGAATTAGTTTACAGTAGATCCCTATGTCTAGGTGATAAATTATCATCTCTTGTGCATGAAGATGTATGGGATACATTTTGGAGATGACCTCCTGAACAGACACTTCATGTCATGGTACTGAGTGGTCACAGGGTTGAAATTAATATGCTTCCCATCCACAAGACTCTGGGGAGACTTGGTTTTCAAGTTGTTGAAAGAGCTAATCTGGACTGTCAGCACTTACCTCTGCTGGAAAATCTATGAATTGTTTTTATATTAACCCTGGCTATTTCTGTGTTGACAAATGGAAGTTTATTATTTGCAAACACAGACAAAGATTTATAGATATAGGCAATTACAAATTACAAATAGTATACTTTTCATATATATTTTTATGCCTCATGTTTTTGAAAGAAAGGAAGAACACTCCTTTCTTCCCTCTTATTCTCTCTTTCCTTTCTTTTGTTTTGTCCTGGGCTCAGACCTTAGTCTTCATGTTCCAAATAATGTCATTATGATGGTTTCTTCTTGATTTATTGTCTACCTAAAATTTGTGGTGTCTTGCAATTTTGTGTATCCTTATGACCTAACTTAAGCTCTTCTGGGAACAAGGCAAACGTTTTTTATAAATATATGCACACACACACATGCACATATATATGTGTGTGTATGTATATATATATATATAAAGTTAGTTGGTTTCTGGGTCAGTTAACATATTCATATTTAATTTATAAAGTATCTGAATATAGATTCAATTATATTTTTTATCTTTTACAATATTTTGCATGGGAACATATACTTTAAATTTCTACTCAAACATGTATTTCCCAGTAGGAAGGGACTCTAGAAACTTTTTGGGAAAAATTTTGTTTCTAATAGCCATATAACCCAATGGATCAGCTATTAGAAAGCTTAGAGAAAAGTTTCATACGGAATCATCACAACTTTTCTTGGTCGAGTGTTCTTGATACATTTTTAAGTCTTTTTATTTCTTGAATCATGTATGGTGCTTAAATGGTTCAGTATTGCATAGCTGTTTTCTAATAAATTATCTCAAGCCTTTTTTTATAAATGGACCATATATATATACACAAAATTAATTCTTGATACACTACTAATAAGTTAGCTTTCATTTTAATGCTTACATTGAAAGTGGAACTTTGTATTAAACTTGAATTTTTCCGTTGTTAGATTTAGTGTGTCACTCATAAATAATATATTTTTAAGACTTAGAATTGTTTATATTTTTGCAGACTCTACAAATC